GGTAAGGGGTGGTTGGGGTTGCGTGTCGCCGTGAAGCTGGGAGGCGGAGCTGGTGGGGGTGTGGGGTAGTTTTAAGATGGTGTGATAGTGCCGGCCCCTGGGGCATGTGCGCCTGCCCTTAAAGGTTTTTCCTCCCTCAGTGAAGTGCACTGGGAAAGTGGCTTTTGGGCTTCTTCGTTAGAAGGATTTGGCGGTTTTCAGGAAAAAAAAAAAATCTCATTTTGGTTTGAATTCCTTTGAAGCTTATGGGCAGAATGAGTGTTGGGGATCTCAGTAATGCTTATAAATATCTAAAAGGCGGGTGTCAGGAGGATGGGGCCAGACTATTCTCGGTTTTGCCCAGCAACAGGACAAGAGACAGTGGTCACAAACTGGAACACAGGAGGTTCAACTTCAACGAAAGGAAAAACTTCTTTACTGTAAGGGTGACAGAGCACTGGACCAGGCTGCCCAGAGACGTTGTGGAGTCACCTTCTCTGGAGACATTCAAAACCCAGCTGGATGTGTTCTTGTGTGATCTCCAGGTGTTCCTGCTCTGGCAGGGATGTTGGACTGGGTGATCTTCAGAGGTCCCTTCCAACTCCTACCATTCTGGGAGGGGACTGTGCCTTGGTCTCAGAGGGGATGTCTGAGGGAAAAGGCTCAGATTGGGCAAGGTGGTTCAGAGCAGAGGAGGGTGGACAGGTTATGGCAATGAAGGTGCAGAAGGAGCCAAGCCCAACAGAGTCTTGTCTGTAGCGCTTTTTGAGTGTCATCCGTAGCATGAGCTGTCCACAAAACCGTGCCTGGGCTTTGCTGAGGAGAGGAGTGATCTGGGTCAGCTGCAGCAGAGCCGGGCAAACAGCTAAGAGCAAAGTGCTGTGGCCAATCCAGGCTCCAGCACTCAAGCACAATTATTGGCCTGGTTTTATGCAGTTGTATCAGTGGACTTAGCAGAGGAATTTTTCTGTCAGTATTGGCAGGTATGTTTCTAATAAAAGGATTTTTTCAGCTAATAATTAAATGCCTTGCAATTCCTTCAAACATTTCTAACCGATGTGCCTTTCATTCTCCTTGCAGATTTTTTTCCTCCAGTGTATAAGAGACAGGGTACAGGGCTTTGGTCTCACAGTAAACCCTTGCTGACTAAATTGTAAGTTGTGCTTCTGATGTGGCTGAGCAAAGGTTGTAATCAGCACAGTGCTGTAAAACCCAAGAGGCAAAATTACTGCAGCATATAGGCTTTAAATAAAAAAACCCCAGTTGAAAGATGAGCTTGCCTGTAAACAGCCTGCCTTTTCTTACTTCAAAGCATGGGCCATCATCATGATTCTCACAGACTAATGAAGCTCTTACTCGGAGCAGAAAGAACAAAAACTGTTCTGTGTTTAGGGCTTTTAAGGGCTGCTTCCAGGCTTCTAGCAATGTTTTGAAGTTTTGCGGGTCTTTTTCTTCTTGCAGGAACAGATGTCGTCATTGTTAAAAACGGCAGACGAATATGTGGCACAGGAGCCTGCTTAGCAAATGCACCTTTGCATCAGAGCAAGAGTTATTTTGAGTTTAAAATTCAATCCACAGGTTAGTCAGCAAAAATGTACAGCTTTAAACTCGGAACCTATGTTACATTGCCTGCTGGTGGTCATATCTCAAATACCAGGCACATGCATCTCTCGAACTTGTGAACGTTGGAGAGTTTTATGAGTTGTTATTGTGTAAAAGGGAATGTCTTTCTTTTTAATCTGTGGCTCTGAAATAGTAAAAAGAGTGGTAAGTAAATTATTAAAGGAATGTAAATGCTAAAACACTGTATTGTTTTGTGTGCTGTTATATGCATATTTTTCAGTTAACATGTTTTAGAACTTTTTTTGATAAATAAATGTTTGTCACCACATAAAACACTGTAGCTATAAAGGTTTTGTCCTTTTTGTTTTTAAGTAGTGCAGTTTATCCAGCGCTATTTGTAGCTATTTGTCTGCCTTCGTTTGCTTTTAACATGCACTGCGTTTGCACAAGCAGGGGTAACACTCCTTGTGCTACACTTTGCTCTCCAAATGCAGCACTTACTCTGACGTTGCCTTATCAAGAGGAGCCTTTGAGCACCCTGTTCCTTCATTTGTTTTGCACAGATCTAATGCAAGGCAGTGAAAAGTGAATGAAATTTGAAAGCGTTACCCTTTTACTAATATGGTCGGCTTCACTAGTACAGAGGGCGCTCCAGGCTTGCCTGTATTGTAACATTAAAAATCAGCCAGTATTTTTAAAACAGCAGACACTGTGAAAATGAAGCTGTTCTTTCCCTAAGTGTGTAGGGGGAGGGAAGAAGAAAGGAGGTGTTAGTTCAGAGAGTTAGGCCTTATGATACCAGCTGGAGCTTGAACATGGCACTTTTTGGGTAAGGGTTCTTTGCATTCAGTTGGATTAGAGTGCAGGCAGCGTGAATGCAAGTCTGTCCAAAACATCTTGCAGTCAAACCAGTTGTTGTTTAGTTTTAAACTACATATACATGTAAACCCCAGCTCAGTCTTAACTTGGCAATTTTAGTATTCTTTCTGTTGGGGGAAGACTCCACTGCAGCTGTTGGTTATATATGGTCATTATTCACACAGTCACAGTATCCATCTTCTTGTGCTTAATTTGAGAAACACAGAAAATAAGCTTTCCTGGTCCCTAGGAGCTGTGTCTCATGCATTCCTGTACCCCAGGACAGGAGAACTGTGGATCACTTAGCTTAAAACTGATTCCTAGGAGTCTTCTTGGGCAGGCTGTTAGGGGTCATCTGTGGAGTCATCTTGACTACTGGAAAGTTTTTTTGAAGTCTGATCTGAATCTTGTTCACACTCTTGTCCATTTCATTCTGGGCATGTAAGTATTAGAATAAATTGTTCTGCAGTTTCGTCTTTTGAAATGAATTGTCCTGTATTTTCACCTCATTTTAATCTTCTGTAGATCAGACAGTCTCAGTGATTTTCACTCTCTCCTTACAGTTGATGTTTTTACACTTTTGATTGGTTTTGGTGTTTCTTCTAGGATGTCTCTAATTGACCTAATTTGTCTTGGGGTATGATGCTTAAAATGGATGCGCTGTTCCAGCTGCAGCAGCTGTAGACATCCTTCATCTGCTGTACATCCAATATGTCTGCTTTATGCATGCCATACATTCAGGATGTTTTTCACAACAGCAGGATACAGAATCACACTCAGCATATGGTCTGTGATAACCCCCCAATTACATTCTCTGAACTGTTTGCCAAGCCACTTTGTATTTGTGCCACTTCCTATTCCTACTTACCTGCTGTTCTTTGTAATTCAGAAAAAGCCAATGCATTTTTCTTGTTTCAGACCTCTTATTTGTCAGGACCATTTAAAACTTGAGGGGTCCCTGAAGGGCTTGCAGTGCTGTCAGGTTGATATTGGCAGCACGTTTAATAAGCACATGGTCACATTACCCAAGTCATGGATGTCAACGGAGAGCGGTATCCGACCTTGGGCATTCAGTGCAAAACCTCAAACCCCACTTGAGTCATCTTCTCTGATTTGACAGGGTGCTACTGATGCATAGTCCTGGAAAACCGTTTTTAATTGTGCTTTTGTATTGCTGTAATTGTCTAGACCATGTTTTTGTAATTTGACTATTTCATTGTTATATGAGGTTCAAAAACATTATCAAATCACGATCTATCATATTTAAAATTTCTTCTTTTTCCGTAAGGCTAGTCTAGCCAGCTGAAAAAGGAAATTGTGTTGTTCACAAATCCATACTAGTTGGATTTATTTTTTGCCTCCTTCTCCAGTCTCAGAGGAGTTTTTTTTCAGTATTTTTCTGTGAATAAAAGTTAAGCTAAGTGGTTACAATTCCCTGGATCCTTCTTTTTCAGGATAGGTGGTGTTGATCTTCAGTCTCCTGTGACTCCTTGTACTGGGTCTAGCGAGGATGGAGTTAATTTTCCTCAAAGCACCACCTATGGTGCTGTGTTTTAGATTTGTGACCAAAACAATGCTGGTAACACACTCACATTTTGGCTTTTGCTGAGCAGTGGTTGGTTGCACAGCATCAAAGACCTCTCTGTTTCTCACTCTGACTACAGTGAAAAAGATTGTGGGTGAACAAGAGATTGGGAGAGGACACAACCAGGCAGATGAACCAAACTAATCGGAGAGATATTCCATGCTACATAATGTGCTGAGCAACAGAAAGGAGAGAAGGGGATTTAGGGAAGTTATGCATCTTTTGTTTGGGAATTGTCTGGGCATTGATCTACACATGGGAGGTGGTCAGTGATTGCCATTGCATTGCTTTGTTTTGGTTTGGTTTGGGTTGTTTTCCTTCCTTTCTTCTACTTCTCCTTTGGTTGTTAATCATTTTTTTTATCTTTACCCACAAGTTTTCTTGGTTTTATTCTTCATTTCCTCTTCCTTTGTCCCACTGGGGGCTGTGGGGAGAAGTGAGTGAGTGGCTGGGGGGGGCTTAGCTGCCTACCAGGGCTAACCCACAGTAGTCCTGGTATTTCCGAGAGATATTTACTGGTAGTACCACCATAGCACTAGTTAAAAACACATTCTTTATGCTGTCCTGCTTCAGTCAGATAGTCTTCAAATTAATGTGGTTTTTTCTTACCATATTAATGTCACGTTTTAGGGATTTGGGGTATTGGAGTTGCAACCCAGAAAGCAAACTTGAATCAAATTCCACTTGGTCGAGACATCCATAGCCTGGTGCTGAGAAATGATGGAGCTCTCTACTACAACAATGAGGAGAAAAATAGACTACCAGCAAACAGCCTTCCTCAGGAGGGCAACGTGGTGGTGAGTTTCTTAAGGCTTCTTTACCTTCCCTGACTGTTCCCAGATTCAGCTGTGTGGCCAGACTGACCATTTCACTCAAATTGTTTGGCTCACATCTCCGAGTTTGGAAAGTGCTGATAACAAACTCCCCTTGTATTTGAATGGATCTTCAGCCTGGACACCAGCGGACTTCATTCTCAGCATTGATGTGTTTCTGACTGAGGGACACTTTACCAGTGTTTGAAAAGTGGCCTCTAATACTCTGTTGCAGTGTGGTTGTAGTAGCTGCCTGATGGGTAACTCCTGTCATGAAGATCCAACATTGTTTGAGATGGGAGCTTCCTGAACAAATAATGAGCTGGAATGCATTGCATGGCTGTGCCCCATGCCCAGCTGAACTGGAGATCCTGTAGCTGACTGGTTAATGATTAGAAGGACAAGAGCTGAGCAGAGATAGGTCCTGGGTGATAGATGGACTGTATTTTTAGCCAGACTTTTGTAGGGAAGGAGAGGGATTAAGTGGGGAGGGGGTAATGCTTACAGGGAAAATGGTTAAGAATGAGAGCAAATGGTGAATCTTTAAGATTTTTTTTTTTTACTTTGCTATTCCAGGTTTCTCAAAACATCTTTAAGTGTCTTTGTTCAAAGGTTGTGATTTATTGCTGTCATTTTCTCAATGTCCTGTTAGAGATTATTTTTCAAAAATACATGGGAACAATGAAATTTAGACCATTTATCACCGCTACTTTTTCTTGCTGGATAACCTTGCCTCTATATAGCGGCCGTTAGAAATATCATCTTTAGAAGGCCCAAACAGCTAAAGTTGACTTTAGCCTTTTAGCCTCAGTTATTACAATATTCTTTTAATGCCCTTCTGAAATTGTTTTCTCAGATGGTTGCGGACTGGCTTGGTCAACCTACATAGTCCAAACAGCCTCAAATGTTCACAGAAAAGTAGTTGATGTGTTCGTGCTAACTCCCCAGTTTTCATAAACTTGAATTAATTTTGTTCTGTCACAAAAATAGATTTCTGAAGTAGTGTATGACAACACAAATTGTCACACTCAGCCATACCAGAACAGTCAGAAAAATCATTTAGCTAACAAATAAGTAATTTATTACCTCACTAGTGTTTGCTTTCTGCTCTGCAGTCAGCACATTTATAGCGTTGTGCATGAAACCGTCATCTGTTGCTGCTGGCAGAGAAAATGACCTGAGAGAGGTTTCCATACCATGGAGATATGGACAAATAAACAATGCATAGCAACACTATTTATTAAAGTCATTTCCATGAGAAGATACAAACAAGAAGACTGCAAGCTGCAAATATTCAAAATGATTGAAAAAATTGTGGTTTTTTTAACACGGTGAAGAATAGTCTGGAAATTTGTTGTCCTTAGTAAAGTGAGGTGTGCGGTTCTGCGCTGCGTCCAGTTTGAATGAGCATTAAGGAATCCTTGGTATTTGAAAATACAAATGTTGCTGGTCATTTATTAACACCTAGTCCTTTGCAGGAATATTTCAAGTGAGGTTTTCTAGGATGCTGTGGTTTGTATAATGGTGTTAAAATTTGCCTGTGGCTAGGAGAGCTAAATTAAGTAGCAGTCTTAGGTGTACAAACTTGTTGATGCTTTTTTGGTTATTTTCTGTACTTTGTAGGGCATTACATATGACCATGTAGAATTAAATGTATATTTAAATGGGAAGAACATGCATTGTCCAGCTTCAGGAATCCGAGGGACTGTCTACCCAGTCGTCTATGGTAAGTCAGAGATTTTCAACCTGTTTCACAGTATGGACAAAGTTTTTGTACTAAGTCTGTCTTGTGAGTTGTATATTCTTCCTCTCACTTAGGTGGAAGGCACGTTAGTAATTTTTTTTGGCAACTACAACAATAAATGGCATGAAAATGCAAAACTAGGGTAATACAAAAGTATGTATATTCGCCTCATTTTTAATGCTGCTTATTAGCTAGGAAAAAAAGCACTGCTTACTGACTGCTTACAGTGTCCACATCCAACAAGCTGGGGAGTTACTGGAAGTTACTGCAGTCACTAAAAATCGCCAGGTAAAAAAACCCAAAATCTGTGAAGCAGATGAAAAGAAAAAAAAAAAAGAGAAACAACAAATTCAAACTAATGTAGACTTGTGGGCTAATCTGCTTTATTTCTGAAGCTTGGGACTTATGCTATTCGTTTCACGTACCCCATAAATACATTCAGTGTTAAATATGAGTAGATACCGAATTGTTCTTTGTATTTCCCTATTCGAGTAACAGCTTTAATGCGGTACTAGTACAGCTGCTTGCTGTATAGGGATACAGCTCTTTGCTGCTGTATGAAATTGATACCTAGTTCCAAAATCCAATTGGTGCATGAATTGTGATAGCGACCATCAATACAACACAGCAGTTTTGAAGAAGAAACAAATACCACATCCAGTTAATCCCTGCGCAGGCTGTTTCAGAAATAATTTCTGAATTATGGCAGCTGGAATTTGGCCAGGACATGTGTTAACAATTTACTCTCCCAGAACTTGGCGGTGGTTTTGTAGTTGCCAAGTAGTCAGAATTCTGTTCAACATCTCCTCTGAAAGGCAGCGTTTCCCCCAGCTCAGTGCGTGATCAATGCTATGCTCTGGGTTGTCGTGTAACCCGCAGCAAATGGTAACTGCTCATCCCATTCCTTGTGTTTCACCTACAGCCTTCTCCAGTTTATCTTTATTCCTGTGTGTCTTTATTCCTTTATTCTTCCAAAATAATTTCGCTCTTGAGATACTGTTAGCTATGTGATATGGATACTTTTTTCATATCTTGGTTAGTTCCTGATGAACTGTTGACACGTTTCCTTTTCAATATTGATACGTTTGTAATATTGAATTTTATGAACACGAGGAAAATACTCTAGAGTTGTAGAGTCTTTGAAGTCTATCAGTGTAGCTGACAAATGACGCCTTCCCAAGCTATTAGAGTGGAAATTGTTTTGTGTGGTTACTCTGGGATGTGTTCGTGAGCCACGTGGTGGCGCTGCTAAAATGCGGTGGCAGGCGGCAGCTGCCCTGCAGCACTGCAGGAGCTCCCGGTGCAAAAAGCTGCGTGAGCAGCAGAAAAAAGAGTCCTGCGTGATAGCCAATTGTTGCATCTTTGCTGTATTTTGAAAATGGTGTTACATAGCATGAAGAATGCAGGTTGCTTTCAGAAAACATTTGGTGGCGCGTTAGCCTACTGTAAATCATCTTTTTCTGTGACTAAAGAAGTTCTGTGCCTGGGGAATGCAGTGACCATTTACTGCCAGGCTCTTATTATCATCTTCCACAAGTGGGCATAATTTCATCATAATTATGTCTCCTACATACAGCTATAACATTTGAAGCCTGCAAATTGCTTTTGCGTGGTACTTACTTGGTATGAACTTTAAGTGTCCTTAATTTAGTGAGAACTTCTTCAAGTCATGTGAAAGGATTTGACCGTAGAGAAGACAATTTCTTAAGCATTTACCCATGATTCAGACTAAAACTGTAAATGTATTTTGAAAGGAAACATGATAGAGCAGGCAAACGTGGTGTCAAGCCTGAGAATGTAGAATGGAAAAGTAGACTTAAATGTTACTCCCTACAGCGGCTATACTTTGGGCACTTCACCATAAGTGGGCTGTAAACACTGCATAAATACTGCAGAACTGTACAAATATACTAACAGAAGCTTTAACTGAGCCTGGGAGGGAACAATTCTGACCTTGGCTCTAAGATACCTAAATTTCAACCCAAAAAATGGAGACGAAGCTTTTCTATGTTGATCCGATAGTTGGTAGTGTAGCAGATTCATCTCAGAAGAAGTTGTCTTTGAAAGAGATCTTGCTTTTCTGACTGTTGGGGCGTTTCAGTTTGCTAATGCAATGCGTGAAAGCTTTGCTCTGAAAATCCTCAGCAGTTTCTCTTTTATGTTCTACATTGAAGGTAGTAACACTTGTGTCTCAGATTATGCAGGGGGTCCAAAACTGGCTGAAAACCCATTAACTTCCAACTTAAAGAAGCAAAGAAGTTCTCTTTGTATCCCATGCTAAAAAAGATAGTCTGACACTAACTGTGGCAGACATCTGAACAAATCATTGCAGACAGCTGATGCTCCAGCAGAATTAGGAAGTGGACAGAAAAATATGGAGCTGAGGAGGTGACAGCCCTCCAACATGGACCTGGTAGTGTCCTCATCTGTAGATTTCTGGAGAAATAGAGTAGAAAATTCAGAGAGAATTGCCTGAAGCCCTGCTAACAGTCCCAGTGAAATCAGAGGTAGCATTCTTATTGACTTCACCAAGGGCCATGACTGACTAAACTAAATAGTAGAAAAGAGAGGTGATCTGCTTTCCTTGGGTATGTGTGTAGGGCTTGAGCAAATTTGTTCAAGAGATTTCTTTTAATTATGTTGTACATATGTAATGGGTGTATTGGAGTATATTCTTCATGATTTGAGCATAGTATATAATCTGATAAGACAGTATAACAGAGGATCAGTCTGTTCCTTCTCTAATTCCTTCTGTTTGGCTCTCTTCTGCAGTTGATGACAGTGCCATTCTGGATTGTCAGTTCAGTGAATTTTACCACACACCTCCACCAGGGTTTGAAAAGATCCTCTTTGAGCAGCAAATCTTCTGAATGTCTTCATACCGAAAATTTGCACCTTGCACTGTTACGAAAGCTTTGTCACCTTAAATAAAGCTTCACGTTACTTTTAGGAAACATATCTGTATTTTTAGTAAGTACTTGTGACTGTTGTCTGCAGAATTAATATGTTAACTGCAACACCAGATAACTGTGTTGCAAATACGAGATTTCTGACAATGTTTTGTGGTTGAAAATGAGTGCTTCGGGGCAGGGTTTTTCTCTGATTTGTACTTGATGCATAAGGAAACTAAGGGATATTATTGTCATCAGTATTACACTTAGTATTCTGTATAAACTGGAGCTCTGTGAAGCCAGTAGTTCTTATGCATATGATAGCTGTGAAGATGGATACTTCTCACGATTCTTTTCCCAGCTTTTTTCACACATAAGTTATATACCTTGTTTGAAAGAAGCACTGTGTTTCTAGTTTGTGATTTGGAGTTGCGATGTCCCAGTTGTGCACAATGGCTAATAATATGATGGCATAACTAACAGCTAGGTATATTTTGGGTTTTTTTTCCTGCAAGGTGTTCTTTAATCCATTCCTTCAATCTAAGACTGGCAAATGCAACTTACTTGTTTCTCCCAGCTTTTCATTTGCTTTTATTGTGACAAATAATAGGACACTTTCTAGTAATACTTTTTTGTTGAACCTTAAAAAGTAAACCTGAACGCTACCTGGGTGTTTGAGGGCCACCGTGCTGTGTTACTCTGGTAGGAGAGTAAGTACAGGTCACTCAACTTGGGTTTGCAGACAGCCAGGTGAAGGGTAGGAGATGTTATGGTGAAGCCTTACATCTAAACTGTAAATTAGATTATTCTTTTATGGAATATCGTATTTAATTTCTTTGTGAATCATTTATAAATAATTAATGGCTAAGACATTGTTCTAAAATGTGATGCCCTTGAATATAAATTGAGATGCTTTTTTCCCCTCTTGTAATATTTAATGTAACTCCTAGAATAATTTTTATTGTAAAGAAAATCTTCATACTGAATGTTTGTGTTTTTTTGGTTTTGGCTCTTCCCGGGTTAATGCATTTGCATAAATTAATGATTTTATTTAAATATTTTCAGAAATTATCTAATTCTGAAATTTTCAAATACAAACAGCTTTCTCAAAGCCTTTCACCTTACGATTTTCTGCATCTCTGTTCTTTCTGAGTGGGCCGTGTTTTCCTCCCTTTTAGCCTTGCTATCCCATGACAATGTTGGGTAGAACTTCTCAACCTGAGAGGAATGATGCTTTTGTCAGCATTAAGGTGAAAAGCTCGGGAGATCAGAGTGCAGTTTTGTCATTTCCCCTTGAAATCTGCTCTGCTTTGCTGTGGTCAGATACGTAATCTAAGTTACATGAAACGTTCATATGTTTCATTTCAGTTTCCCCCGTAGATGTTTCAGGCAGTTTCTCCAGTAGATGTAGGAGCAGCTGTCTCTGCTAGGGCAGAGGCTTTTGTGGTGAGCTGACCCTGGCTGGACACCAGGTGCCTACCAGAGCTGCTCTGTCACTCCCCTCCTCAGCTGGACAGGGGAGAGAAAATGTAAAAAAAGGCTTGTGGGTCAAGATAAGGACAGGGAGAGATCACTCACCAATCACCGTCATGGACAAAACAGACTTGACTTGGGGAAATTGGTTTAATTTATTAGCAATCAAATCAGAGTAGGATAATGAGAAATAAAACCAAATCTTAAGAACACCTTCCTCCCACCCCTCCCTTCTTCCCAGGCTTAACTTTACTCCTGAATTCTCTACCTTCTCCCTTGAAGCAGTGCAGGGGGATGGAGAATGGGAGTTCCAGTCTTTGCTGCTCCTTTCTCCCACACTCTTCCCCTGCTCCAGAGTGGAGTACTCCGCATGGGAGACTGCTTTCCATAAACTTCTCCAATGTGAGTCCTTCTCATGGACTGCAGTTCTTCATGAACTGCTCCAGCGTGAGTCCCCTGCAAGGCCACAAGTCCTGGCAGCAAATCTGCTCCCGCATGGGCTTCTCTCTCATAGGGTCACAAGTCCTGCCAGGAGTCTGCTCCAGCACAGGCTTCCTATGGTGTCACAGTCTCCTTTGGGCATCCACCTGCTCTGGTGTGGGGTCCTCCACAGACTGCAAGTAGGTATCTGCTCCACCGTTAACCTCCGTGGGCTGCAAGGGCACAGCCTGCCTCACCATGGTCTTTACCATGGACTGCAGGGGAATCTCTGCTCTGGTATCTGAAGCACCTCCTCTCTCTCCTCTTTCAAGGACCTTGGTGTCTACAGAGTTGTTTCACATCTCACTCGTCTCTCCATTGCAGTTTTTACAGTGGTTTTTTTCCCCCTTCTTAAATATGTTATCCCAGAGGTGCTGCCTCCGTTGCTGATGGGCTTGGCCTTGGCCAGCAGCAGGTCTGTCGTGGAGCCAGCTGGCTTTGACTTCATCTGATATAGGGGAAGCTTCTAGCAGCTTCTCACAGAAGCCACCCCTGTGTTCCTGCCCCGGCTACCAAAACCTTGCTACGCAAACCCAATACAGCTTCCACACAGCTTGAGCTTCAGATGGCCAAAGCAGCCCTCCAGGTCCCAGGTTGCAAGGAGTGGCCTCTCAGGCCAGGAGAGATGGCCCTCTGTACTTTAGGAGGCGTGCTGCCTTGGAGAAGCTGTGCTGCCAAACAGAGGAGTTACAGGAGGAAGTGGGCAGGTGCACACCATCAGAGAAGATGAAAAGGAGATAGACAGGATCTTCTCTGAGATGTAACAGCTTGAAGAGCCTCAGAAAGGTTACAGCAAGGGAGATGTACCCTTGATAGAAGAGGATCAGGTCAGGGAATACTTAAGCAAACTAAACATCCATAAGACCGTAGGCCCTGATGGGATGTACCCATCCCTCCCAGCTGAGGGAGCTGGCTGATATCATTATGAGGCCACTTTCAATAGTCTTTGATCAATCATGGTGATGGGAAGAAGTGCCTGAAGACTTAAGGGAAGCAGAAGTGACTCCTATTTTCAAGAAGGGGGAGCCAGGGACCTACAGGCTGGTCAGCCTCACCTCAGTCTTTGGGAAGGTGATGTAGCAGCTAATCCTGGAAACCATTTCCAGGCACATTAAGGACAAGAAAACCATCAGGAGTGGTCAGCATGACTTCATCAAGGGGAATTCATGCTTGACCATCTTTAACTTCTATGAAGAAATTACTGGCCTGGTAGATGAGAGGAGAGCAGGGATATTGCCTACCTGGACTTCGTTAAGACCTTTGATACTGTCTGCCATAAGATCCTTATGGACAAGCTGCTGATGTATGGGCTGTTTAAGCAGACAGTGAGGCAGACTGAAAACTGGCTGAAGGGCCAGGCCCAGAGGGTGGTGATCAGTGGCACGAATCTTAGTTGGAGGCCGGTAAATAGTGGTATACCACAGGGGTCAATACTGGGCCCAGTCCTGTTTAACGTCTTAATGAACAGTGTGGATGATGGGGCAGAGTGCACCCTCATCAAATTTGCAGATGCCACAAAACTGGGAGAAGTAGCTGATATGCCAGAGGGTCGTGCTGCCATCCAGAGGGACCTGGACACGCTGGAGAAATGGGCTGGCAGGAACCTCGTGAAGTTCAACAAGGGTAAGTGCAAAGTCCTGCATCTGTAGAGAAACAACCCCATGCACCAGTACATGCTGGGAGTCACCCAGCTGAGGAGCAGCTTGGCAGAAAAGGACCTGAGGGTCCCAGTGGTTAACAAGTTGAACATGAGGCAGCAATGTGCTCTTGTCACAAAGAAAGCAAATGGTACTATGGGCTGCATTAGACAAAGCATTGCCAGCAGGTCAGAGGAGGTGATCTTCCCACTCTACTCAGCACTGGTAAGGCCACTCCTGGAGTGCTGTGTCCCATTCTGGGCTCCTTGGTACAAGAGAGACATAGACAGACTGAAGAGAATCCAACAAAGGGTCACAAAGATGATGAGGGACTGGAGCATCTCTCCTATGGAGAAAGGCTGAGAGAGCTGGGACCGCTCAGCCTGGATCAGTGTAAATACACACCTGAAGGGAGGGTGCAAAGGATCCAGAGCCAGGCTCTTTTCAGTGGCACCTGGTGACAGGAGGCAATGGGCACAAACCAAAACACAGGAGGTTCCCTCTGAACATCAGGAATCACTTTTTTACTGTGAGGGTGACTGAGCACTGGCACAGGTTACCCAGGGAGGTTGTGCAGTCTCCATCCTTGGATATACTAAAAAGCTGTCTGGACATGGACCTGGGCAACTGGCTCTAGATGGCCCTGCTTGAGCAGGAGGATGGACTGGATGACTTCCAGAGGCCCTTTTCAACCTTAACCACTCTGTGACTCTTCCTTGAGATGATGTTGCTATACAAGCTGACACATACCATCATGTTTCTGTAATCAAGTCTGTCAGCTCTCCAAACTTGAAATTATTATACGTATATACATGGATATATATAGAGAGAGAAAGGGAAGGCCTGTGTCCTTCTTCTTTTTGATATCTTTCAACAGTGCCTTCAACACTGGTTCTTTGCCATGAAAGACTACTGAGATGAAAGTGCTTCTTGTGGAATTACATTTCTCATGTTCCTGGGGAAAGTATTTAACGAAATCATATCACTTCATCTAACTGCCTCCAGCAAACAACCGTTTTTGAAGTCTGCCATGTTTAAGAATATTTAACAGTAAAAGCTGCTACCTTGAGCTTGATGTAGACTTTCTTTAAAATACGGACACGGCTGTCTTCTTCAAAGCTGGTGTTTGAAAAAGAAAACATTTTGGTAAATATCAAATATTTCAGATAGCTGTTAAATTCACCAAAAATATGAAAAGAGCCTGCTTTTATAGCTCAAAGTTGCTCATTTCTCATCTTGACAGAGTAAGATGCATTTGTAATACCGTGCAATGTAACTACACCTCTTGTGATAAAAAAACCAGAAAACTTCCTGTTCTGTAACTGGTGACACAGAAAAACTGTATAAAATAAGAGGGGTGAATAAAAGATTATTACCATCTATTTATAAAAATGGAAAGAAAGCATGGTTTTTCACCTGAAAATATGTTTTGTGGTGATATTTCATGAGAACCAAAGGTACAGTTAACTCCATTGCACAGGTAAGATGGGCCACGGAAACAGAATGTGAATTAAGCAGTGCCTCAGCATGTCATTTCAGCCACTGTCAATAAACTCAGGTGTTTTCCCAGATGTGTTTCCAGTCCCAGCTTTGCCCAGAGAAATGAGATGCAATACTTGTTTCTAACAGTCGCACTAGAAAGTAATTTTCAGTGAAGGTTTAGCAATGTAATTACTAGTGGCAAATTAATTTTAGTAGGAATGAATCATGCTTCCCAGTGAAATGGTTGAGGTATCTCCACTAATTGTTTGTACCCAGATGTTTTTTTTAATCCTTGAATGTTACAATTTGGATACCCTATCTCTTCGAGTCCAAAACTTTGCGTTGACTAATCCTGTACGTTTCCTGAGTCCTTCTGAGATCTGCACATCCACAGATCAATAGAACCAACAGGGCACATAGTACAGGTTGCATGTAGATCAGTCAAGTTGTCATTTTTGTAATGCTGAAACTGTTGATGGTGCTTCAGGGATGGATAAAGTCAGGTAGTACTATTCCAAGGAGCTTAAAA